GATTATAACTAACTCATTTCGTCTACTTTTGCAGTTTTTGGACCTGTTCGGTAGGTCCGAAGTCCCAGCGTCATGTATTATTGTTGGCGAGTTACTATTATGAGCGCGTCAAGTATTATCATGTTAGGTAATCGTCACAAAGAAACGAGGGCGGTAAAAAAGGGTTAGGGCCAAAAAAAGGGACGAGGAATGCTAGTCGCGATGAAGGCAGGATTTTAAACTAAGGAAAATCTTTAAAAGGAACGGCACGCGACAAAACCAACCACTCCCAAAGAGCCTCTGGTAATCACAATTATAAGATCTAAAGCCCGAATTAAAAATAACAAAATTTTTCACACCTATTTCATCGTAGGAGCAGTAATGTATTGGAATAGATCGCGGATGTATGAGCGAGGCTCTGACTGTTCCCTACAGTAGCAGCCCCGCGAAGGCAATCGTGATGCTCGTGACAGCTTGCCCCGTCAATGATGAATAGCAGCAGTACGAGATAGAGCCAAAAGCTGCAACTCCCATCAGACTACCATACGATATACAAGCCAAACGAACGAGATTGCCTTATGACAATAAATAGAATACTACCAATGGCTTATGATGAAGCATTCAAAGAGCGAGTGAATGGATATATTGGAGTGAAGACAAAAGCACAGCAACTCGGGCTGTGTGCCGGCTGTGCATCTGATAAAATAACTTGCGTGTTCAGTTGTAATTTTTTCTGTTTGGAGACAGGTTAGTGGAGGAATCGTCGATGCAGAGCGAGCGGATAAGTTCGACAAAGCAACGCATGTTTTTTGTATATGTATAGATGTAAGAGAGTTGATTTTTAGCAGAATATTCATAATATATGAACTGAAAATAAAGTTCGTCGATGCAATGTTGTGCTGCGTAGCCGAACAACTAATGTGAGAGTGTGTATCCTTTCGATCGACAGATTTGTTTCTGAGAAGTTTTACTAAAAATACGAAACGGTGTCGATGATGGAGATTCTATTATTCTTAGATTTTGTTAGATATAACCCACCTTCGGACCTAATGTGTTCTATAGGTCAGTCAGTCAGTCAGTCACTGAACAATTTGTTGGTTGTCCCGTTTAAAACTGTCACTCGCAATTGTCACATAAAAGGGAAGTCTGTCACTTGAAGACTCATTTAGGATGGATAAAAGAAGATTTTAGTTCCACACAAATTTCAAGCGAGTTTAGAGTGTAATACTTGGTGAGTTTTATTGTACACGGACATTTACAACCAATATTTGATGATTCTTTAAAAGGTGCCCGAGCTAGTTTGGCATGGTATATCCACCGCGGACGATTGTAGCCCTTCGACTGTCACATCACTAATCTTATTGTGGATTAGAACGTACTTATATCATGTTGGAATAAGTTTAAAGAACTTTCTGTCTAGGCGATTGTTTCGCACGATAGCGTAAAACGGGTTTTCGCGCAGCGGCAACGGTACAGCGCGAGAACGCGCTTTATTGGCGCCATGAAGCATTTCGACAGTCAGATACATAGCAAGAATTATGTCTCATGGATAAACAGTCATCAGCACGTAAATGGTACTTTCTAACGCCAGTCTGGGGGTGAAGCACTGGCCTACTAATGTATTGTTGTGTGCTTCTTCTTTGAGTTTTCTGGTTGACATGTTGTGGTTAGTGCTTGATCGCTTACTCAAACCCAATGCGGAAGCAAATTTGGGAAATCAGCTTCGCAAAACTTTTGAACGAGACAACCGATATGTCATTACAGTAAGATTCTACTGGAATAAAAAGTCACCTATAAACAAGAACAGGGAGTATTCTTACATTATAATGTTATGACAATATATCAGTGTCTTCTAGTTTATGTTTCCAATCATTAACGTCATGGATATAGTGTGCACAGAATAGGCAGTGAATCGAAAGCTATACCGTGTTGTCTGCATGCAGTTTGTACCATGCGGTAAAAAATCCAACATATTAAATTTACAGTATTGAAACCCAAAAACATGCACAAATCCGCTGGTGACGTCTGTCTGTTACGTCATTATTTTGACAATTATCAGCCACATTCAAGGTCAAACTGTTTTCGTAAATAAGTGTCCGTTGCGCACACAATCTAGAATACTGTTTTTCGCTCGAAGCGCTCTATGCACAGAAGCGTATAAAGGACTACTAACGGGGCACAATGTAGTTTGTTGTCGGAAATTCAGAAACCATAGAGCAATGGCTTTACGTTGTCCTGACTATAAGTCTTGTCGTGCCACAATCGGTGCTTTCTAATAGATGTGTCTATGAACTTAGCCCTTCAACGAAATATATACCCAGTCGATTTTAGTTTAAACTTCTTTTTACTACTTCCTAACTTCAGTCAACTCGTTTCTAATAAACCATAGTTGAGAGGTTTTGAATCGATACAAGATGCGTGCATGTTTTTGATTAAAGGTGCTTCTAATAAAATTGTATTCGTCTTGCACATATACAGCTCTCTTTCATTAATTAATTCTGACAGCAGGTACATGATAGCAAAAACAATGTTGTTATTCAGCAAATGGTGATATTAAATACTAAGGTAATTTCATTTTTTTCTGATTTTGTCTATATACTTTGTTGATGCATATCAGAGACGTCTCTCTACGAAAAAGACGTCTCTACGTTTTGGGAAAATTGTTAGAATTATATGAATGAACATGATTCAGAAATTATAAAAATAGTGAGTTTTTAGGTTACCAGGTGATCAACTAGTAAATTGAAGATTTCTATGGCAGCTTTGGAGACAGCGTAAAATGAAGTGAAATAGTCATGTTTTGAAACGGCATATCGCCTCAGAGGAGTTCCATAAACTAGAACGCTATAAGACACAAAGAGGCCAAAAAATATATTCGCAGCGTCATCTCTATTGCAGCCGGGTAGCTGTGCTATATTTTTCCGTTGATGCAATGTCCGTTACCAAATAGCACGAAAGACGCTTCCTAATAATTTCACTGTAATTTAGAAAGAGATAGAAACGATGCGTGAACTTCGGCTTCCTTTTCAGACGCTGTTCTGTCGTGTTATTATTTAGGAACGCGTCTTACCCCGGTCGGCCTCCTGCCTGTCCCAGGTCATAACGTGTGTCCAGAAAAAGTAGATCGGAATATTATACATTGATAGACAGAATACAGCCAGATCATATGTACTAGAACATTGTTGCAGCCTCGTGGAGGCAGGATTGGCAGGCGATATCAAAAAAGTCGAACTTAAAGCTAGATCACAGCGCAGAAAAAAACCGAACGCAAGATGTGACTAAGCCGTCATTTGATTCAGGTTACACCGAAAACATCGTTCAGCATTGTATATACACTAGCACTCTTAGAACAGAATAGTTTATATGCACCCTTTAAATATAGAATAATCGCTCTGTATTAGCAGCTTGTTGAAATTCATTTAGGCAGATTCATAGACTTTGAGTGTATTTGCAAGCCAAGTTTAAAATTGCCCGGGTTTTTAATTGCCTAGATGGAAAAAATCGATTATATTTAATATGAGCTTGTTTCATATCAACATGCTGTAAGCTCATGATAAATAGGAAATCAACTTAGCATACGAGCTTTACATACCAGCCTTAAATCACTACGGTTCCTGGGAGTTGATAAAATTATCAATCTATCTTTATGCTCGACATGCACTTCTGTAGGTAATTTAACAGCAGCCTTTTTGTACGTCTTCAAGCAGTTGCAATGTTTTAACCTTAAGCTACATATCAAAAGAAATCGATGAATACAATGAAATTCATCTTTAAATCTTCGTCTCGACCACGAGCTAAACGAACAGAAAAGTTAAACAAACCGCGAACACTTATTGGCTATGCTCGTTAAACGCGAAACGCATAGTAGCGACGATCAGGCAAGCGCATCCAAACTGCCTACCCATGAATGAGTGTTTTTTATACTGAAAAAACAGTTTCGCATAATCCTTGTTCGACCTGAATCCCCGGAACGCCTGGTGACTTAAAAATCGCCGCGAATGTGCTTCCTATTTATTTCTTTTTTTGCCATCTTTGCGTAAAAGATCTTTCAAACGACGACTTAACCGAATAGAATTGTGCATTTCGTCGTTTTGTGCTAGTGTGATTCTTTGTTGGCCTATATTTACGCTGGGCATTCAAAAACAGTTCCGGACTTCTACCCTTCTTCTGCCTATTTGTTTGTTTCGGCCGCATCGTCGTAGAACAGCTAGGCGTTAGGTAAACGTTCTGGCCACTCGACGCCCAGTTACGCCTGTAACATCATTGCGGGCGAACTCCTCTGGACCCTCAACAAGTTGGGAATGGCTAATTCCATCTGAAGTTTGACTTTTGCTTGGATATGTTGAAGGAGACCAATTGGCGGTTCGGGGTTGTATCATTTTTATCACTGTCCGATATGCGAACATGCAAACGTTTTCTGGGTTATTTTGTTCTGCGATATATAATTGCTGTCGCAGAGTGTACTAGCGTTTATCGAGGTCACCTGTTATTATTACCGTAACACTTAAGTTGTATTGCCATATTACTTTTTCCCCGTCTTTATTGATTTTTTAGTTTTATAGAATTTCCACATATCGTGAAAAGCTACTAATGTAATGTTTTTTATTATAAATAAATGGAAACATTATCCATTTAACATCTAATTTGCTGGATGTCATGCTGACAACATACGATTTATTATTTTTCAATAACGAAAGCATCCAATGAATAGTACAATATGAAAGACAAAGAATAATCAGTCAAGGCCACTTTACCCGGACGGAATTTTCCCTAAATTATTTTTGATGTGCGCAGGATATGGAGATTGTTTGATATCTCATGTTAGCTCAAGTTATTTTTAAAAAAAGCATCTAGATTTAATATGTAATTCTTAAGTACAATATAGAAACATATATTGATAGTATCAACGAAAATCTCTAGAAAAATAGATATTATTATCTATTCGCCAAAGCTCAGCGTTTTTTTGTCTGAAAGCACTTTCCAACAACAATGCGTATTCTAATGTTTCTTTTGATTTTCAGCGGGCCTAATGGATAATCAGAAGGTGTGGGTCGCACATCCAGACGAAGGCTATGTCATGGGTCATGTGGTTGACATTACCGCTGACAAAATTTCGGTTCGAGTTGGCAGCATGATTTTGAAAGCGTTATACGCTCAGGTTCACTATGCAGAAAGCGACCCGAACAAGGATGTCGACGACAACTGCGCAATGGTTTACCTTAACGAAGCGACACTCTTCAACAACGTACGGGTCCGTTACAAACAGAACAAGATCTACACATATGTGGCAAACATACTGATCGCAGTGAATCCCTATTTTGAAATACCGAACCTTTACACCAAGGAGACAATTCGTTCCTACAAAGGAAAGTCGCTAGGGGCTTTACCACCACACGTATTTGCGGTGGCCGATAAAGCCTTCAGAGATATGAAAGTTGCCAAATGCTCTCAGGCGATCATCGTATCGGGCGAATCAGGTGCTGGAAAGACCGAATCAACAAAATACATTCTACGGTACCTGTGCGAGGGCAGCTTGGCTGGTCCTATCGAGCAAAAAATCCTTGAGGCTAATCCTATTCTCGAGGCATTTGGGAATGCTAAAACCATTCGAAATAACAATTCGTCGAGGTTCGGAAAATTCATCGAGATTCACTTCGGTAATGAGTACAGTGTCGTTGGCGGGTACATTTCGCATTATCTACTAGAGAAGTCAAGAATCGTAAGTCAGGCAACAGATGAACGGAATTACCACATCTTCTATCAGCTGCTAGCTGGCGCTGACGAGGACCTAAGGCAGAACCTTGGACTCACCAATCCAGACAACTACAACTACCTTCAAGGTGGTCTTACCAGGTATTTCGTAGGGAAGAATAATATCGATTCAGACAGAATGTCGCAGGATCACCACAAACGGGGACCCCTCAAAGACCCCGTTCTCGATGACAGTGAGGACTTTAAAAGGTTGGACAAGTCTCTTGAGCTAATTGGCTTAGATAAGCAACAACGCTATTATGTGTACGGAGTTGTGGCGTCTGTTCTGCACCTCGGCAACGTGCAGTTTGAGGAAAACCCCGACGACAAAAAGGGGGGAAGCAAACTAAAGGATAAGGCGAGTGAGATTAGCTTGAAGTATGCTGCCACCTTAATTGGCGTTGATCCTGATGAACTGCGGATGTCTTTGCTCTCTCGACTAATTACGTCGAAGGGTGGGGTTAAGGGCACTGTTTATATGGTGCCGCTTAAAGCGCATGAAGCCAATAGCGCTCGTGATGCGTTGGCTAAAGCACTTTATTCAAAGCTATTTGACTTCATCGTGAGTACCATCAATCAAAGTATTCCTTTTAGACAAAGCGCATATTACATTGGAGTGCTAGATATTGCTGGTTTTGAATATTTCCAGTCTAACAGCTTTGAGCAATTTTGTATTAACTATTGTAATGAGAAGTTACAACAATTTTTCAATTACCGAATTCTCAATGAAGAGCAAAATCTGTACGAAAAAGAAGGCTTGGGCGTAAAACGCATTTCGTACACTGATAATGCTGATTGTATCGAACTCCTCGAAGCGAAAAACACTGGAATATTTGAACTGCTCGACGAAGAGAGCAACCTGCCAACAGGCACAGCTGTACACTTCACCTCGCAGGTGCACACACTGCACCGTAAACACTTTCGCATTAGCATTCCTCGCAAATCGAAACTTAAGGCGTATCGTGAGCTCCGCGATGAAGAAGGGTTTCTTATACACCATTTTGCCGGGGCAGTATGCTACCAAACGGAAAAGTTCCTAGAGAAAAACAATGACGCACTGCACGATTCGCTTGAGGCAATCGTTCTGGACTCGAACAATGCGTTTGTTAAAGCCCTCTTTGGAGCTCATGGGTCATCTGGCAAAGGCAAACTGCGATTTGTGTCTGTCGGGGCAAAGTTTCGAAAGCAGCTTGTAGAACTGATGAATAAGCTACAGTCAACCGGAACTCACTTTGTGCGGTGCATCAAACCAAACAACAAAATGGAATCCAAAACTTTTGAAGGCCCACAAGTTCTTAGTCAGTTGGGATGCTCAGGAATGACCTCAGTGCTGGAACTTATGCAAATGGGTTTTCCCTCACGTGTTCCATTTAAGGAGCTTTATGAAAAATATAAAAGTTTTCTGCCAAAGGAGCTCGCTTCGTTGGATCCGAGATTGTTCTGTAAGACTCTGTTTAAAGCGCTAGGACTTCGTGATGCAGATTTCAAGTTTGGTTTGACGAAAATTTTCTTCCGATCTGGTAAATTCGCAGAGTTCGACGAAATCATGAAGTCCGATCCAGCCAGTTTGGCCGATCTTATCTCGAAAGTGAGGAAATGGCTGGTTATTTCTCGACTGAAAAAAGCGCAGTGGTGCGCGCTAGCTGTCGTTAAGCTGCACAAAAAGATCAAGTACCGTCAAGAGAATCTTGTAGTTATTCAAAAAGCTGTTAGGGGCTACCTAGCTCGCAAGCAGTACGGTGGGCGTATTCAAGGCCTCAAAAAACTGAAAGTTATTCTTAAACAACTGTTAGATATGAGAAAAGCAACTGCGTCGAACATCGTTTCTCAAATTTACGAGTTCAACGTGCTTGAAGAGCAGGCGAAAACGCTTACCCGTCAAATCAAAACGGGCGAAATGGTGGATAGAATCAAGATTGAAAATCTTTGTGGACATCTCTCAGCAGCCTTAGGTGAGCTGGCAAAAAAAGTGAAGTGTGCCATCATAGAAGAACAGGTTCGCGAATCTCAACGTCGTAAGGAAGAAGAGGAACGTAAGAAGGAAGAGATCAAGAAACAAAAGGTGAGCTTATGCAGCTAGGCCAATCAACAAGTCTACGCGAACATTTCGCTAGCATGTTTTTTTAATTTTGCCTGGCAAAACTAGGTGGAGATGCTGACTCTCGGCTTACTTAGAAAATCTAGTGAAGTTTTCTAAGAAGCTAACTGTAATATTTCCTTAGAAAAATGTCGATCCCTGAGTCTATCAAGAGGAATGTTTTTTAAGGAGTTGAAAATGTTTATTTTGAGAACGTGTGAGCTCTCTTAGCCCTCACTTTGTGCATGTCCGCTTTTTGATTCACATTATAAGCAAATCTTTGACCGGCTTTATCGACCTTACCTGTTGAGGATGAGGGAATCCATTCCTTGGTCCGCGGAAGAGACCTGTTCGCTGAAGTTTTCTTTCGACATGATAATTCTGTTTTTTCAATAGGCTGAAATTGAACGACGCCGGCGTGAGGAAGAGGCGTATGCTCAAGCGGAGGCCTCAAGGGTGGCGGCCGCCAAAGCCGACCGCGAAATCCAGGAGGAAAGAGTCCAGGAACTGCAAAGGAAGCTCGAGCAGGAACGAAGAGATCGTGAATTGGCTATGCGACTTGCTCAAGAGAGTAACTCCATTGTCGAAGATCAGAGTCCGCCTTCTAGCATAGGATCCACGGGAAGAGGTGGGTGACGCTGTTATTTGGAACATAACACGTTTATCAACGAATATGAAATAAAAGTGCTAAATTTATTTCCGACTCCGAACTTGCTATTTGTTACATACTAAGGGGACCAAACTAGTAAATCTAGTTCTTTGTGTATGACCACGGACTTGCCTGCAACCTGTACTCAAATGAACGGTAGCCAAAAAGATAGTCGGACGTGAACATTAGGCTAGATTCTACGTAGAGCCTTAATTTGTAGCATATAGCGATAACAGCTTATCTCGCTAATACTTTATAACAGAAACAGCGCCGACTGGCAAATATGACTTATCCAAATGGAAGTATTCGGAACTGCGTGACGTCATCAATACCTCCTGCGATCTTGAGTTGCTCGTAGCCTGTCGTGAAGAGTTTTATCGCCGTCTGAAGGTCTACCATGCGTGGAAAAGTCGTTACACTAAGAAAGGTTCTGAAGCCGCAGAGGATGAAGCTTACAGACTGCCGACTGTTGAACCTTCGGGCTTCTCCTGCCAACCAGAATCCGGTAAAACTGTTCTTTTTTTATATTTAACTACCATTTAAAGCAAATTATCCATTAAAAGAAGTCGGCTAGGTACAAATTTAGCAAAATTAATGAACAAGTTTAAGTCCACCGTAGATTGACAGTTTATTATTTTACCGCTCATTTTTTTTATCATTTCATTTTTATTTTTAATGCCTTTAGCTATTAGTACCATGTGAACAAGTCCTTGGAATCATCCGTTTGGTATTTACTACGTTTTAATAATTGTTTTTCGTAAGTATCCATACATGAAGTTTATATAGGTACGAAGATTAACTTTCAAGTCGAAATATCCAAAGCAACACGCATCCTCAAGAGATACGTAAAAAATGTCTGACAGCATCTATAAAGTGTACTTAAATTTTTTCTATTGTGTTTGTGGCGTAAGATAATAGGGTCCTACTATGACCCACTGCGATGCACAGACACAATAAAGCCTGACTAAAAACACCTCCTTTATATATCCTTAGGGCCACCACGTCAGAGATATTTCAAGATCCCTTTTAAACGGGATGGCTCTTCTGGAGCCTCCGGAATATGGCTTGCGCATTTCGACGGTCAGTTCATCGCCCGCCAGATCGAAGTGTCGCCTCGCAAGCCTGCGCTATTACTTCTAGCCGGCCGAGATGACATGCAGATGTGCGAACTCAAGCTCGAAGAGACCGGGCTAGCTCGGAGGAAAGGAGCGGAAATCCTTGAGGTAACTGCTACTGCTGGATATCGTCGGACCCACAAGCAGTTTCTGACTATATTCGGGCACAGTGTAGAGCAGTTATTCAACCTAACCCAGCGAAAGGGTCATATAGATGTAACATGAAATGGTTGTTTTTGCTTATTTTATTACGTTTTCTTTCTGCTTGTATAGTTGACATCTATTCAAAACTACGTTCTTAACAATTTTTTTTTTGTATTAGATACGCTTTTTTTTAATTGCAAAGGTGGCGTCACTGAATTAGCATACCTTGGCTTAAACATACGCCTAGAGAAATACTCATGCGTTAGTTGGTAATAAATACACTTTTACGCGGTATTGTATTACTTAAGCTTGAACTAAAAACCGGGTGGCACCTTATGGCCCAACTAGTCACCCTCATAGGGCAAGAAAGTGATCTTCCCCATTTGTGGTTTATGTTCGTATTTTTGCAGGAGGAATTCAACAAGGAATGGTCCGCACTGGGAGGTCAATTACCCTATCTGCCACCTTCAAGCCGTGGTGCCAGTATTAAAACATGAAGATGAAACTGGTGTCTGGGAAAACCTTCTGCGGCGATTTCTGCTAGGAGATATTGGCAAAACCAAGGGAATACCAGTAGCAGTAGGCAAATTACGAACAAGATTATGCGAGCGTACGATTATAACTGGAAAGACACCAAAAAGACAACCAACAGGATTAATCCCTAAATAGCAGTATTTAAAGGGGTTAGTTGAGAAAATGGTTAGCTATTACACACGTTTAATAATTTTAATAAATACGCAAATGACGACAAACAAACGAATAAAAACAAAACTATCTTCGTTAGGCACCTAATGCGAGAATACAAAATTATAAAGAATAACATTAAGAACATCAATAAACTGCAATTCCAAAAAAAGCATCGAAAATGTGTATTGCATTGTGAGTATATTAGTTAACTGTGTTTTTGATGTAGAATTGGCCTAAATAATCGTATTCGTCTAAAAGACCACACTACAAATATAAATACATCAGAGAATGCATCGGCTTCGGCACACTCCGATTTTACCCAGGTTCGATCACTAATTTTCAGGTATATTTTACACAGGAATACCAGATACGTATTTTCCCAGCAAAACGGTACGATAGCTGATAGTTGCAAACAAAGGCAGTTCGTACAACCCCGGCCCCAAACCAATAATACTGGGGTTCGTCACAATTGATAACTCAGGACAACCGAAACAGGCTTATTGCTCGTACCCCCATATAATTTGCGTGCGAAACAAGGCTCAAGCCATCGCAAGAGAGTGATCTTTCATTCAGCGGGTGAGGGTCTTTTCTAGACGAAAGAATGCCGCACAAATTCGACTGTGACTTTAAAGCCAAGTAATCTCCATATATGTCCATATATGGAGATTACTTGGCTTTGGAGAAAAACCTCACAAGCCTGGCATGTATTTTTCCGTATCTGCATTTAGGCCGCTGTACCAATTGTCCGTCAGCAAGCGTAGGCCTGAGCCAGGGATGTAGCTCAAACGGCAGAGCGTTCGCTCAACATACGAAAAGTACGGGGATTAGTGAAGGTTGCTCAAAAACTTCATTATCACGAATCGCACCCAAAAAAAAAAGAAAAATATATTCACATTCTTGACTTATGGTCGTCCACAGCACTAAACAAATCCAGCGTAACCGTATGACATCACTTTATTCAGTTTGGCTAATGTTACTCTCCCGTATGCTCAGAAATTCCATTCACCTCTGCGATTTCCGGTATAGTATTGAATCAGGCTTGAATCGACGTAGGAAATGATCCATAAATTCTATTGCATAATTTCCATGACATTGATGTTATATATCCGCGCTTGGCTCTTACGTTCCCTATTCGATCATACTTACTGCTCTCAGATCTGATCTATACTGGCGTAAGAGCTAAAACTCGTAGATCGTTACTGTAACTCATATTTTCAACGATTTGAAGCTGAAGACAGTGAAGGTTGTTTAAGCCAACATTTAACCTCTTCCTCTTTATTCTTACTAAACCAGTACATATACTCATGTTTATTCAGCTGCATATGCAACCATCTTAATAAAACCATTCAATTAGTGATAGTAATAATCAATTCATATGGAATAAACATCTGATCTGTGGTGTTTTTCCACGCGATCCAAGTAGCCGATCACCGATCGTTGTTCTAATGAGTTAACTCCTGGTTGTAAACAACATAGATTTCCATTCCTTTTCATATCGACGAGATCCGTCAATATGGGTATATACATATCTGTCCGTTAACATGCGTATGAATAATAGATGTTGCTTAGGTTTAAATAAGGACGAAACTACACTGATATGAAATGGTTTCCTGTAATATTCGTCCATTTTGAGAAGAGGGTTGCGAACTTCTAAACATCGATTGGTTTTCTACGGTACAGTACCTGTGTACCCAGCACGCAGAGACCAGCCGACCCGGTCTTCAATTAACTAAGCTTTTGTGTGTGTATGTGTATATTTTGTGTAGTCTGTCCATATTATATAGATGAAAGTATATGCACGCGATAATTTCTGTAGGGTCTCTGCTCCTCTATAACTACTTCCATAGTAGAATGTCCTACAACGTGCATAGAGAGTTCAGCTATCATTGATACTAACGGTTCAGTGCAGCAGTTTCTGCCCGGAAAATTTTTATTTTATTTGGTAAGCTTCTCTCTTGTTTATGCTTTCTTTATGTCCACCTGATTTCGGTCGATCTGCGAAAGCTATCCTTTCAACGCAGCCGCATTTCAGTCATCTGGCGTATGTTCGAGCACACTGGAGGCTTGTCCCTGAACGAAACATCTTTCTCTTGCTGTACGTATTTTCTAGCTATCGAAAATGATTGTTGGTGGCCTGACTACTATTGCGTATGGGGTTGTTTACAAAGCTGGTTTAAAAAGTCACAAGGGTGCAGCGCGGCCAATAACGGCGCAGGCGACCCGTGCGCCAGCATTTCCAGTGCTTGAGGACAACTCATGTCCACCCTTTCCGAGATCGTCAGGATCGGCGTGCACCTATACGATAGCAAACCGATAGATTGAGGGAAAACAAAAGAATTTTCGACTTTAAACGTATTGCTAATGTGAATCTTCATGGAAAAATTGCGTATTAGTTTAGCTACTACGTGTCATAAGCAATTGATTGTGAGAATAAGCATATTCTCAGTATAATAATATACCCATATATATATATATATATATATATATATATATAGTATTCCTTATTTTCAGCGTACTAACGGTGCGTAGTATCATACGCATAAGTGTTCAGAGAGCGCAAGTAATGATCATAATAGAATGCTTTTTAGACCGCGAAATCAGTAAAGGGATACTAACAACGAGTGAGCGTCCGATGATATTGTGCTCATTATCGAGGGCGATTAGCTTGTCGGTAAAATTAACAAGAGCCCTACCGTTGGCATCAGCCACCACATTACCTAGATCACCGACGTGACGCTCCTCGTCGGACGGACCTGTCATTTATGAAATACAGAAAATTAATTAAGAAACAATATCGTTAAAATTGTTGACGGTATTATCTGCACTTACTGCAAGTTGCCAACACAAATTAATATAAGTAATGTCACGTGCTCCACTCTAAGACTTGGGGATTGCAGGAACATTCGATCAGCATGAATCGTTAGTAGTAACTAAGATGCTAACGAACTTATGAAAATACGTTTCGTTTTTTGATAATGCACTATGACATATATTTCCAAATATGAGTGAAAAAACTAATGTTTGTTTCAAATTCATAGCAGAATGCCACCAGGCTGGCTTGGTTCTCTTTTTCGCACAGGTACCTAACGTGCAGTATAGCTACTTCCAAATCCCATAATTCATTTTAATAAGAACTATTCTATCACCACAAAAGGCCCCTTGGTACCTCCGTGAGTCTTTTTGGTCGGATTGAAGTGAGGTCCGGCGGATGTGCAACCATTCGTGTTGTCTCCAAACTCGTGAACGTGGAAACCATGTTGACCGGGAGTTAGCCCATTGATCTCGCCAGTCACTTTTACGGATTCACCCTGCAGTGGTCGCATCGAAAGCGAATCTTAGATTAACGCTTAGTTTTTTAAGTATCGGATATTAACATAATATTGACAGAAGCACGTATAGTAAGAGCTAATAGTGTGCGATGCAATATTAGATTGTTTTAACTGGTCACTTCAGGACGAAGTTATCGCAAAGATGAAAATGTGAAGCTCTGCAATCAACAGAAGTTAAGATGGGCGCATAAACACTGATGGCTTGTGGTAGTGCAAATTTCCATAAAAAATAACTCGCAAATTTTAATATTTCGTTCATGATGGTCGGATTTTTATCCTGGTTCGCGATCGACGATAAAATGACGTATTCGTTGTATTCGCATATCGTTGCCGTTTCGTAATCGCTTATACGACGTCCGGTAAACCGTGCCTTCTTTTCTAACTTCCTTTGCTTTCTCTCTTAAACTTTATTAACTTCCGTGAGTAAATTTTGTTTTAAATATAATTAACACGTTGATATTCAAGCATGAGCATAATAAAGCAATAAGCAATTGATTAACATGCAAAATATTCGTGTAAGATGATTGCTTATCTTGTTTGCTACTCAGTCGACTAGCGATAGATGGCTAGTGATAAGCGAATGCCAAAATATTGTCTCTTACCATGCAACAGCCTTTCCCATATCTACTTTAATTCGCACAAATATTGCATACGAACATAACGAAGTAACGCCACCGAGGAAATTACTAAATGACGACCTTCATCGCTTCAGAATCGAATATATTTATACTTGCTCTCAATATTAATTTTATCCAACAACGACACACCGTTGTTACGCACTTTGATTACTCTTAATCAAACTTAGTACATCATACTTGCCCGCAAAGTCTATATTTACCTAACCTGCCAAGTCACATCCCACGCTAACAGATAATAACACTTGACAACTCAACTATCCGCTGTTGCTAAGGCAAATAACGCCAAGACCGTATTATTGGTTGCATATCACGCGGTATCTTGTCGCCTACGAGTAATCCCAAGGCCGTTCTTTCATTCTGGCTTACTTCGCATAGTAAAATCTCAGCCAAACAACGCCATCTATGATGGCGTTCGAATTCGATTCCTCCAACTTTTTGGTAAGTAACAGCAGGAAGGATGGTATTTAATACAATCATAGGATTCTAAAAACAATTTTCGTTATCATATTGTAACACAAGTGAAGTTGATCTAGAGCCTTTTAGATCAATTCTCCCGGCGTATGACCTAAAAATGACCTGCTCCGATGGATATAATACAGATAGTATTCTATTTAATCAAAGCAAAAAGAAATTTAGTCATGTAAATATAGGCTTACATGACTTACATAACACTTTATTCTTTATTTCCTTGCTATTGATTAACAGGTAATTAAGCGACGCATTAGTAAAGAAAGAGTCATGTCTGTAGATGAATCGCGCCATCGTGACTAAGCATTCCTTCCGAAGTCATTGTCGAAATGTGGCAGAGTTGGGGGTCAGCGCAGAAGCACACGTCAGGTCACAGTTAGTATAGAGCGGCTATCTGCTTTGTATAGAGAGAATATGTGGAACCACATAACCTTATGCAGCGCGACATAATAGACTAAGCATATAAACATAACTGTTCTAAAAAGGTTTCGCGCGTTAGCTATCAAAGTAAGCGAATAACCGTTTGTATATCAAACAAGGCAATCATGAAGCGGCAGGATCTCTGCGAATCGATTCGAGCGGGTCAACGAATATGGCATCATCGCCGCCATCGCGGCCGCCTACCATTGACAAACGAAATACGCCAAGCACCGCGTACATTCGACTGCTAACTGACGATTAGCTTGTTAATTACTAACGTCGTTGATTCGCGTATTTTAATTATCTAGGAGAGCTTTTGCATCTAGAAAGTCCTTTTTTTGCTCACTTCATAAGCGTGAGCACTACTGACGACCAATCATAATGTTCATAAAACAGGAAGAATCGAAAGTGTTTAAAGCCTACCTCTTGCGTGAACCAAATGACACCAGTAACAGGCTCAGCCTTGAGAACGGCGACAGCACGCTTTGCCATTGCGATGTTATCAGCCGCCGTTGGAGCGACGAAATGAAGTAGGGCAAACAGTTTGCGGCCGGTTAGTGAGAGCACAGCGTCCGACAGTGGAGAGAATAAGAGCAGAACAACTAGTCGACTGCCGTGATGGACGGGACAATCCTTATTGGCGGGCATGTGTCCGCTGTCCTCAGCCAAAACAATCCCAATTTTCAGCCTGGTACATGGTAAATTCGGCAGGCTGTAACATGTTTTATCAGACCCCAACCACCGACCGACCTACTGGATGATTCTGCGTAAGATTTTTGAAGAAATTAGAAGAAAATATGCCTGCTCAGGAAAAATAATTAATTTTTCTTGTGGACGAACAGCGACCGACAGCGCGCTAAAGCGATGTTTTGAACCGGACTCTCGATGAGTGGTTTCGAGTGCCGAAAGAGCTCGACCTTGCGATCAATCAGCCGAACTATCGTCTGTCTGTGTTCTCCTAGTAGAGGAGAGCAGGAATTAACAGAAATAGTAGCAGCAGTAGCCGTAACGTAAAGATTGCGGCGTTAGCCGTACAAGTCGTTTTGCGCTGAGTGTTCGAACAGGAAGAAAAGAGATTCAAGTGTTTGCCAGTGCACCGAATACAGTCAGCCAGCAGTTATCTGCCACAATGAATTCAGCTATCCTCAGATGCATCTCTCCTGCTGTGCGGGTGAGTTATACAGGGTCAATTCGCCTGACTTTGTCTGCCAGTCAGACAGGCAAAGTCAGGTAAGATGGAAACATTCGTTTATTAAATACATTGATCGGGGTGACCCCCAATGGCCTGTCGCGCACCCCACTATCGCGCGAGATGCGTTTCCAGCAAGAGACGAAGGAACGGCAAACAATGATTACTGGTAGTTACGTGTATCACGTTGTTGTAAATGCATTGAAATAAGCCTGCGAGAAGCATGTGCGAGTCTTTAGATTATATGTAATTTTGTTATTTGAATATGTTTTTATGTATTTGGCTACAGAGTTTTTTAGAGGTTAGGCTGCGGTCATTGTCTGCAAATCCACAGACCCTCAGTCATCAGTTTTGACTTGCAATGTGTAAGGTAAAATAGTCGAAGAGTATATTCATGGTATCAATTATCTTAATGCCATGTGGTTTCTTAAGCGGCCATTTCTCAGTGCAGGTGGACAACCATGTAATATTTTTGCTATGAAGAGTTAATTTCAAAATTAGCGGTGTCTTTGATGGTGTGCGTTGCAAAATTACGTACCTGAATACGAACATTCGCGCTAGGGTGTCCGTTTTGCCTTTGAAAATGCCGTTTTCTTTCCTTAGTTTTAGAAAAATCAAAAGTTAAATTGACCAGTCACATTGACACGTAAAATACTCTGATCATTACCAAAAAATTTGTCTATCAGCACATCTACACTGATTATTTGAGTATACGCTTAATAATCTATAAATTGAAAGTATGCTTAGTTCTTCGTAATCCCTGTAGACGATAAATTTTTTCAATCAATTTTTTAATGTAAAATTTGGTGAGTAAGCAAAATATTTGTTTTTGTAGACAAAAATGATTTAAAGTGGTCACAATTCTGTTTCTGTGATTCACTTAAAACGTTTTGATGGTGAGGCTATTTTAATAATATGCTGATTATACAGGCTGATCTAGTATAGGTAGAAAGTCAGCGCATTGCCCAATTTCTGTGCCTATGTAAATTTGGTACATTAGGGTTATTAAGAATTCCAAAAAATGTCCCTCGTACTTTTTACTATTTTTTCGAGCATTATTATATTTAAATAAAATATTTAAGTAGGTACTTAAATGATTTGATTATATGGAAATATATTTTCTCGTTGTCATCGCCATTGTCAACTTATACCTTGATTGTTCACTGCGTGTTCCGCAACGCAGTATTTAAGATATTCCGATTTCTAAAACATGTATACACTTTGGTTTTTAACACACAGATTTGGTTTTTTTGCAGCGGATAGCTATCACCACTCTCTCGAACCGTGGATACGCTGCTGCTCTCGGTAAATGGCTGCAAATTATTCTGCTAAATATTTAAATGTACTAGAGAACACATTTAAAGTAAAGAAAGCATTTAATACAACGGACAATTATAACTATAATTGTTATTTGACAAGACAAGCTGCAAAATAAAATAAATATAAATAGGAAATAAACTAACAATACCCAGTCTGGACGTAAACTCATGTTTGAAAAGATTGTCTGGAAAGTTTAATGTATTAGATTTGATTTCATGTGTCGTTCGCCATTGAACTCCGGTTGAGAAGATCACGACCTGGTAGTAATTGGTTCAGGTCCGGGTGGGTACGTCGCTGCTGTCAAGGCTGCACAGCTCGGCCTAAAAACAGCATGTGTCGAAAAAAACGTCACCCTCGGGGGAACCTGCCTCAATGTTGGCTGCATCCCCTCGAAGGCAAGTTACTTGCTCAAACAGTCGACACTGTCGCTTTGTGAATATTTTCATCGTGAATTTTCAAACGCCGTCAAGTACTTAATAATACTATTCTCATGCTCACAAGCACAACAATGCTGGTTATATGTGTAAACACAATTTCTGGTTTTGTTTATAATAGTGTGAAAAAGTTAGCGTGGGTATTATTACCTGCGGAAGGCATCGACGCTGAGGGTTTTCAGCTTTTACAACAAAAAATGTAATGCGTCATTTAGGCTCTACTACACAACTCGCATCTGTACCATGAAGCCTTGCACCAGTTTGCTGCGCGAGGAATCGAGTGCGACAATGTGCGACTCAACCTCAAAAATCTAATGGATCAGAAAAACAAGGCTGTGGCGGCCCTAACTGGCGGAATTGTTCATCTTTTCAAACAAAATAAGGTAAAGTCATTATGATGCTAGTGTAGTGTTTGACCGAACTCTCAGCAAATACAACTTTGCTACGTTACCTACTATGTACACTATTCTAAACATATCATTGGAAATATAAATTAGGTGAAGATCATATAATATTTTTAGCTTATTACTACTTCTTAGGTGAGCTTGATTTTTATTAATGATACATGTTATATTTGAAGTAACTAGTGCCGATCTTTACCTGTACACGAATCGAATATCTTTCGCAGGTTTCTCGGTTCGAAGGACACGGGAAAATCACTAGCCCAAACGAAGTCACCGTTCTTAAGGCGGATGGATCAACAGAAACAATAAAAACTAAGAACATTTTGATCGCAACGGGATCCGAGGTTACACCATTCCCGGGCATCGAGATTGACGAAGAAACCATTGTGTCATCAACGGGAGCGCTCTCTCTCAGCAAAGTAAGTAGTTTTGCTTTTGACCTCTGTATTACCTAATATATATTTCCTATTGCCTATACATGATTCTACCAGAAACATTATAGATTTGCAGTTTAATTAGTTGTCATTTTCAATGAAATGGTGTATATTTGCTCTACTTTCGTCAATTCATTGGTGATGGTTTCATTCATTATGTCGAAATTAATGAAGCCTTTTGAAGGAGCATAAACTGTTTTTTAGATCAGTACGAGTGCGTTCGCAAAAACAAAAAAAATCAAGAGTTACTCTAAATTACCCTATTCGATGGTGACATTTTAGGTCCCTGAGAAGCTGGTGGTAATTGGCGCCGGAGTAATTGGTTTAGAATTGGGGTCGGTATGGTTAAGATTGGGATCCGAGGTAACCGCCGTCGAGTTCCTTGGGAGTATAGGTGGAGTTGGAATTGATGGAGAGATTTCTAAAAACTTCCAGCGAATCCTCGCCAAACAAGGAATGAAATTCAAGCTTGACACAAAGGTAACTCCGACAATAACATCATTTCTGTGTCACTTGCGATCTGCTGCAATCTCTGTGGTGTCAGCCTCTGCGGTGCAGATAGTTTGTAACACATTTCAATTTATGTTTTCACAGGTAATGGGAGCTCAGAAAAGTGGAGGCAATATTACCGTTCAGCTGCAGTCAGCGAAAGATTCAACGAAAAGTGAAGAGATTCAGTGCGATACTCTTCTCGTGTGCGTCGGCAGAAGGCCATATACTGAAAACCTTGGCCTTGAAGAGCTCGGAATTAAAAAAGACCAGAAAGGAAGAATCGAAGTGAACAAGTCTTTCCAAACGACCATTCCGAATATCTATGCTATCGGTGATTGCATCCCGGGCCCAATGCTTGCTCACAAGGTGTGTTTTAGGCTGAACCCATAAATAACTTCCTTCAAAACGATACTCAAGTGTTGCTGGGGATATCGAAAGTACACGTCAGTAAAGTATCGTTATTTTAGGTTTTTGTTTTATTGCAATTATTTCCAGTAAGTATCTTCAGAAAAAATGTACGCTAAATTCTGTTTACTACGACACTCAACAAAATAGAATTTAGTTCCTTTAGAATTTAGCTCCTTACGCTCTGTGCATGACTGCACTTATTTTCACTTTGCCGTTGCGTTTCGTGACTCTTTGCGTGATCCCTTCCGACTACAGGCGGAGGATGAAGGCATTATCTGCGTAGAGAACATTGCTTCGGGTATCAAGCCACATATCGACTATGATTGCGTGCCGAGCGTAATTTACACACACCCCGAGGTCGCTTGGGTGGGAAAGACTGAAGAGCAAGTGAAGTCGGAAGGCATTACTTATAAGGTTGGCAAATTTCCACTCCTGGCTAATTCGCGCGCCAAGACCAACGGTGAAACTGACGGTCTGGTAAAGATTATCGCTGACAAGAAGACCGACCGAATTCTTGGAGCTCATATGATTGGATGGGTGAGTTTAAAACAATAGCAATATTAAAATAGTCCATTAAGCTGATGTCGTGTATTTTGAGTTTTGTTGTATAATAGTTATCGAAACACAATTGTTTTTTTAT